ACTGACGTCACGGTGGCGGCAGTACCTGTGTCAGACACAGACGTAGTGTAGCCGGGGTCATCTGTTCGCACCCGCCGGAGGCCTCAAGTAGACCCCCCTGGCCGACTCTCGGGGGATATGCGGAAACATATTCTCGTGAAAATTGTGAAGAGTGAATATTGCAAGAAAAAACACACTTGTAGGCAGTGATGTGTGTGCGCAGAGGACAAGAAGAAGAGCAGAACTGCCTAAATGTGCAAATTCTATGTAATGCCTCTTCACAAAGGGGAATGTTTCCAGAGATATCACATGCACAAGCACTTCTAGGAGCTCTGGTAAGTGTTCTCCAAAAATTTCAGTTCATAAAATTAATTAGGAGATTTTATATTAATTTTTAAAGTGAACAGTGCACAAGTTAGGGTAGTAGGTTTAAAAACGCCGGTCCCCAGGGTGATTTAAATGTTTAAACCACCGGTCCGCAATGTGTTAACACAGAAAAGTGGCTGTTTATTCACATGCACCACACTTCCCAATCTTGTCTCTGTGAACTTATTCTATATTGCACGGCTTAATCAAGCAATGAAAGAGCACTTCCGTGATTTTTTTTGGAAATAAAGATTGCCATGACAGAAAAACTGCCTAATATTCCACAAAAGGACGTCAATAAATATTTCCATTTCCAGAAATACCAGCAAGAATGAATAATCTGCACACAGACTACTCTGAAGTGGATAGAAGTAGCATGCAAATGCCATATTCATTTCATAGGGAGTCTCGTAACTTCACACGTAACTGTGTTATTAAGTAGACAACAACAAGCTTTGTTTTTATAAATTCAGTATGTTAGAAGTTTCTTTGGGATGAAAACATGTCACTGAAGTTTTAATAATGAACATATACAAAGTAATTTTACCTGAAGTCTAACGTTCTTCCTTTGAACCATAAATGTCTGTAGTAATATGCACCTAACAGCACAGCCACAATTACAATGACAAGAAACACTGTAAGAATTACATATTTAGAACTGCTCGTATTTTCCGGCTTTTCATCATGCTTGTCAGGGTGTCTAGTGTCACCATGGAATCTTGGTTCATCATCTTCATCACCTTCCTGTAACATGGTGTACATGTCAAAACAGAAATTTTAAGGTCCAAACTATGAGGGCATTTTGTTATTACTAAAATATCAAGTTGTTTTTACAATTTTTGTTACTAATGCTCTTTCTGTATCGGATATTAAATTATGAGCATTCAGTCCTCATTTTTAAAAATGTTCTCACCTTCAATTAAGGGTTATGGAAGTCTTGTTACTTCATACTGTTGGCAGAAGACTGAAGGACATGACATTACAATTAAGAAGGAAGTACACAGTATTAAATTACATGTTGTTTGCCACATCTACATAAGTGATCAATGGCAAGTAATATTACGCTGAAATGAAGGACAGTTTCATGATGAAATATTAGATAAATGTTTGAATGTACAAATTGTTTACAATGTATCGATTACCAATAATACAACAGAGAAGAGGAATAAGTTTTTTGAGGATTAAACAACAATCAGACCAGAAGTTCTACTCTTTGTATGTTGAATTCAATTCAATTCAATTCATTTCAAATTCAAAAATAGATCCAGATACAGGCTGGGAATGAGTCACAGATCAAGAAAACAAGCATTCCATTCCCACAGGAACAAGTCAAGGCATTCATAATATAAAACAAAATAAAAGAATATATCAGCCATATATACAACAAAACTCCCCCAGTACAGAACTCATGACTCATCTATTATTTCCATAAAATCCAATACTTTAGGATGTGGAAAAGTCATATTAGATAAATAAGTAGTACAAAGAACTAAGCCAAGATATAAGAATAGAACCAGAATACAATTAATCTTACCGACTAGTATGTACAAAAAATTCATCCACAGTATAAAATGGGTGACAAGTCGAGGCATTCATAATATAAAACAAATAAAAAAAAGAACATATCAGCTATATATACAACTTGTAACAGGGGAGCCAGTTACTTTTATCATTGTTTCACCTTTCCTCATTATAGGCCTATATGAAGTATGTATGGGACGAATCTACATAAAGAGTCTTAAGAGCATAATATCATTTTTAGTATTGTATTGTTTAGAGCCGTTGCTATGCAACAACCGCAAGAGAGGAGACTATACCACAGACGCTGTTAGGCAATGGCTCAGTACACACATTCCCACAGCAACATATCAACATGCAACAATAGAGGTACTGCTGGAAACGAGATGTTTCTACGTGATCCATGCTGAGAAGTTACCTTGAAGACAACTGGGGTGACCCAATCAGTTGTGTATGGCAGTCTGTGAAGGGAGGACTTGAGCCAGGAGGCAGAAAAATACCCCTTGTTAGAGCTGTTACCAGGAAATGTCTAGTGACAGGCTGAGAACATTAGCCCGTGTGCTCTAGAAAATTGTAAAGTGTGGAAATACCAGGAGTGTTATAGTTATTTGTAGCTAAGATTTGTAAGTGGTCAATAAATCTATTCACCAATCGAAACCTCGTCTATAGTCACTGATACTATGTGACAGTATAAAACTGTATTCGTTTTTAAAATAAAAATAGGTTCAGTTGTACTATACATATGTTTTGTGTCATATGACTTATTCTGCATTCTACAATGATTTTTGACTAACTTCAGACCATGGGAAGTAGAGTGTGTATATCTATTTGCTTATAATAAAAGTTGTTTTTTACTTGCTTCAGAAACCAATAAACAGTAATACTGAACTGATGTTTACTCACTTACATCATCCAGTTATTACATAAAGAGAAAGGACTTCAAACCCCAAATTCTTTTGTGACACATTTCCAAACAAAATGTTTCTCAGTGCTGCACAAACATTATGAGTATTTACATTATATTTGCTTTCTGAAAATTTATATATAATCACCTTTATGCCATTATTTCAGGAAATATTCAGTATTTTTTAAGCAAACACTTTATTTTAATAAAATGAAAAAAATAATGTGTCTTTCATTTACAACAAAAAGTGACATTAGCACAAAACACATCATATTGAAGAGAAAATGTCCAACATAATTCTAGTTCACATATCTGGTAAAGAACTATACATATATATACATATACTATACATATGCAGTGTAACACACACAGTCACAGGAGCAAGACACAACACAAAGCACAATACACACATGAAAATAGGAAGAATACTCTGATAGAAGAAGATACGTGTGACTCGCGTATTGAGATACGACCTAAGGATGACAAATCCTGAACAGTTTTAATATTTAAAATTTATCATTATATATGACAAATATATATTTTAATTATTTTAGCATAAAGACAACAGGGCATGCAATGAAGTAGTTCGACGTACATAAAAAAGCACCTGAAGATGGCACTTTAGTGCTGAAACATGTAGTGCAAGAGAGAAGATAGGGTGAATAAATGTATGCACTGTAAGACGGTCAGAATAAATCATGGACTATACATATGCTGGTTCTTAGGAACCAGTACCAGTAATATTAAGATGCTCAAGATGTTGTGACATGACAGCCAAAAGAAGGAACAGCAGAGCCATAGAAGGCACCTATTACAAGACAGTGGACAATAAACACATTTCTGTGGCAATGAATCAGCATGTAACAATTTGAGAACACAGTGTTTCCTCTGAGTCCATGGAAGGGTTATACGAGGGTAAGTCAATAAGTAAGTTATAAATGGATATAGAACTTAAACAAATAAGAGTGCTGATCTGAAAAATGCTTTTATTTCTCAACATAATCTCCCTGAACACTGAGGCACTTACCCCATCGTTTCACAAGCCCCTGAAAACCAGCAGCATAAAATTCTTTGGGCTGCTGTTGGAACCAGGCGGTGACTTCCCTTTCTACAGTTTTGTCGGGAAAATGTTCAGCTGAAAGATGATGTTTAAGAGGGCCGAACAAATGGAAGTCACTTGGAGCAAGGTCAGGGCTATATGGAGGATGCTCGAGGACTTCCCACTTGAAATTTTTCAGCGTCTCATTTGTCTTGTTGGCAGTATGGGGACGCGCATTGTCATGCAAGAGCAACACGCCTTTGGTGAGGAGTCCTAGTTGCTTCCGTTGAATGGCCTTACGAAGTTTCCTGAGGGTGTTACAGTAGGAGTCGTCATTTACAGTTTGTCCTTGAAGCTGGAATGCAGTGAGCAGTAGGCCTTCGTGATCCCAGTCACCATCTGGTTCTGACAGCAGCCCAAAGAATGTTATGCTGCTGGTTTCCAGGGGCTTGTCAAACAATGGGACAAGTGCCTCAATGTACAGGGAGATTATGTTGAAAAATAAAAGCATTTTTCAGATCAATACTCTTATTTGTTTAAGTTCTATATCCATTTGTAACTTACTTACTGACTTACCTACATATAATGACAACCAATTGGGCAACCCAGGTAGCCATCAGAAATGAGATGTCAGCGCCAGCGGTTAGAATCTTAAGTTGCACTATTAGATTCCACTACCAAGAAATCACTTGTGAAGACTCCATGTTTGCAGTAGTGATTTGTAGTGTGAAAACTAATCAAAGTGTTATAATTAACTGTAGCTGCAAGTTATAAATGTTCAATGAAACCAATTACCAACCAAAATCCCATGTCTAGTCATCAACACTTGACAATATTAATACACAGTATATTTCCATTATACAAGTGGATTATGTTTATTATGGTGTAATGTTTTTTTTTTTTTTTGTAATAAATGAGAATTTAGAACTTTTAATTTTCATTGAAAATAAAAATGAAAGACTGAAGAACAGTAATGAAGTGCACTAACTGCATTAGTTCTACATCTCCTCTTGAGTGCAAAATGGCCAATTACCTTTGATGGACATGCTTCACCCTTTACAACCACAGTTCCATTAGAGCAAAGGCATGCAGGAGTTCCACCAGCACTTAGTACACACATCTCACTGCATGAGTGATTGGCACATGGATTTGTAACTGAAATATTAAGCATTAAAATTTTAAATTTATAAATCATATGCCATGCATAAAACTAAGAATAAGTTTAACAATATTTTCTTTCTTAAAATCTATTTTTCTACACTATCATCAGAAAATGCAGAGTATTGGCTTTCAAAAAAGAGTGTCACGTGAATTAAAAAATGGTGACAAAGGACAAAATTTAAAAGCAGATTATTTTATGTCATATATATACGTGGTGTGTTCAAAAAGTATCGAACCTTCTTTTTTCCCGCGTAAACCAATGAAGCACGGGAGGCTCCTTCGGTGGAGATGTGGAGGGGTCATTCATGCACAGTCGTCATGGCA